GGGCGGGGCCTAACAGACATGCTGCAGCGAATCAGAGATCTGCCGGGGACGGAGCGGAGCGTTCAGAGAGTATAGAGACACATTTTGACTAAAAGTTGACTAAAATGTCATTTTTCATCGATTAAAAGTTTGACTAAAACGTTTTGAGTTTTCGTCGACTAAAACTAGACTAAAACTACGAAGGATAGGAATGACTAAAATGTGACTAAAACTAATAACCATTTTCGTCTAAAGACTAAATCAAAAACAGCTGCCAAAATTAACACTGGTGTGAGGACTAAACTTTCATTTATTTGTAATGAAGAAATCCTATTGGCTCTCTTTATTTTGAACTATCTTTTTGTTTATTACTTATTTGTCTTGCTTTATTGCCCTGGTTGTTGGTGCAGAACCTCCGGCAAAAGCAGCCTGAGAGCAGAGTGTGTGTCCAGGTCCACACTTGTTAAATTGGAAAGCCAGACTCAGGAAGTTGTTCATTGCAGAGGATCTGAGAAGTGAAGTGTGAGGCTTCCAGCAGGGAAAGTCCATTTTTTTTTTTTAAACTTTCTCCTCTTAAGAGAAAGGCTGCCGGGTGAAGTGGAGCGTGTGGGGTTAGAGGAGGGAGGCATAAAACCACAGGTTGAGAGAAGTAGGATTACTGTATTTCTCAGTAAGGAAAAGAAAAGTGTGCGCTGTCAAAGCTTTGTAAAATCATAGAAAGCCATGTTTTGAAGTTTAGGAAAAACCTTCCTTTAAACTTGTCCCCTTCCTAAATCAAGTATCGGATAGGGTTTCCCGAGTGGAGATGAGAAGGTGTAAGAGAGGGACGGAAAATATGTATCAGGTCTTTTTTGATTCTGCCTAAATTATTTTGTATTCATATGAGGAAAACAGAGAGAGAAATCGAGAGGCGAGATTCTCTCACATGAATACAAAACAGTGGAGCTGCAATCAAGACTCCTGTTGGGAGTCTTCAGTCTATGTGTGGATGAAGACGATAAATAAGTAACTATGTGAGGGGGTGTATTGATGTGTAGAACAGAGATGTCGACGAAACTTCCAACTGCCTGCTTTTCACCACTAATTGAGAATGTGTGTATAAAGCCTACCGTATGTTCGGAGCTAACCTCATCCATATGTGTGGCTTCTGTGGGCCTGTCCCTGTGGGTTCATCTATCAGGGAGACACATCCAAGTGAAGACACCAAGCACAGCAGACAGATCAGCCAACACATGGGGGCGTTGTGTCGACACTTGAACCGTCTTGTCCAGTTCTTGTACGGCAAAGGCACATGATGTAATGCCGTGTAAGCCATTCAGATAAAAGGACAGCCGCTATTATTTTTAGGCAGGAAAAGGGGGGAAATTGTAAAGTGAATCAGTGAGATTAAAGTAGAGGTTAAAGAACACACACACACACACACACACACACACACACACACACACACACACACACGAAATACATTATATAACATTGTCTTTTGGGGTGAGCCAACCCAGTAAAATATATGTGCATATTTATGTAAGACTGAAGGCAATATTTATGTGATGGAGCATGACAGATGTGCGCTGCATTGCATTGGGAAAGTGCTATGTGTGGCTCCTAAGGCTGATCCACCTTAACAAAGTTTCCGTAAGCGATGTTGTTGCTGCTAGCTTTCGGGAGCTGCTTCATTTTACCCGCAGGTGGTCTTGACAAAGTAGCATGTTTTCACCGACAAATAAATAGTTTACACACTGCACCACAAGCTTACTGACACACACACACACACATTTTCTCCCATGACGTTCCATGGACTGAACGGAGGGGATTTTTTCGGGGGGTTGTGGTAAATTGGTAGTTTAATCAAATAAAAAAATACTAATTCGCCATCACACGCTATCTCTCTTTTTGTCTATTTATCTTAACCTCCTTCACTAGTGTTGAACAAACAACCCGGGCACTGAGTTACAACTTTAGAAAAATATCTTTAAAATATATTTTTTTAAAAGTGCTTGAACCTGTGGGCATGTACCGTGTAGCCTACCTCCCTCCTTTGATCTTTGTAGCATTAACCACTGACTGTTCTATCGCTGAAATGGCTCATTACCTCCCTTAACCTCTCGATTGCTTTTTTATTGTTATGATATCTTCATGTCTGTATTCCTCTCTCTGCCTCCCACATATATTCCGTATCCATCCATAACTCCCGGCAAACCAGTTGTGGGCTTTTCAGATGTCTACAGTCAATCTGCACATCTCCTGGTTTCTTACAAACTTGCAGCGGTTTAATTTGTTTGCTACCTTAGGCTGCACCATTTGATACACAAGGAATCCCAGGGCTAATGCATTGCAAATTCGTCTCAATAATGAATTGCGTGGGTAGGATCAAAGGCATGGATACAGAGCATAGTACCTTGCAGAGGAATGCCGGGGACCCAGAGGTGCTGAAGGCACTAATGAACCAAAACTAGCAATCAGGAGGGACCGAGGAATGTCAGATGTGCTAGCTATGGGATGGCACTCACACACAAATAGATCCATGCAGAGAATCAAACAGAACGGTGCACATTTTTAGAAACGACATGGCAAAGTGAAGAAAATAAAGTATACAGTGCTATCTGATAGTATTATGTAGATGTGTTTTTCATATTGGATTTAACATAAAACATGTGCCAGAGCTAGAATGAGTTAGTGTTGGAGTGTGTTGAGTTAAAAGCCTCGCATGATATTACCAGGGCATATACAATTCTGCTGCAGTCTGTTAAAAGTTATTGAATATGATCACTATCATGTACGTTTATTATGAATGACTTCCTATCCCCTAACATTGGCGAATTATTATTTATAGAATGTTTATAAAAAGTGCCGGGATTCATAAATGTCACACATGCACCACTAGGATGGTCAAGTGATTATCTAGGAGAAGTTAATTCAATTTATGAGAAGAGAGATTATATCCCTCCTACTTGAACCATCTATTGTGCTCATCGCCTCCTCACATGCTCCTTCATGTACACGTGCATTTATGGATTAATCAGTACCCTCCTTCACAGCACTGTTCCCACATGTACCTAGGCTTACACACTTATTTCATTAGTTTACAGCTCTGCTTTATGACAGTGCATGAACACCATTGATATTCCAAACACGTCCAACACACTGCTAGCTCCATGTTTGTGGTTTAGTAGCTTAATGGACGCAGAATGACACATACGGGGTTACAATGTCCATTTTCCACGAGGACAAAGTCTTGTTAAAATGTATCCTACAGTATGTACTAGATGTATCTGTCTATCTATCTATCTATCTATCTATCTATCTATCTATCTATCTATCTGCTCCTTTTACCCCTCACTACTCTGTCTCTCCGTCTCTGCAGGGCTGGTGTGTGACAGGGGGCGTGGCTGGTATACTCCTGGCTGCAGATGAAGCACACCTGTCCCCGCTCACATGATCAACCTGCTCTTTAAGAGCCTGGCTCTCACCTCACTTCTCTGCCAGAGAATTACATGCTGTTCCACGGTCCGGAGTGCCTTTCTGCAGCCTGGAGTCCGTTTTGTTCACTTCACAGTTTTTTGAGGAGCTTTTTTGAGTTTTCCCTCAGCTTTGTTTTTGGACTTACTGCAGCCAGCCAGCTCCCTGTCGTCAGTACCTGCCTTGGACTACCTTCCTTTATTAAACACATTGAAGCTTTATTTTTGTCAGTCTCTGCTTTGGGGTCCAAGTAGTATCCAAACGTCACACTATCCGTCTATCTATCTATATGTCTATCCATCTATATATCTATATGTCTATCTATCTATTTATCTATATGCGTATCTATCTACTGTATGTTCAAAAATGTTGAATTGCTTGCACACTGGACAAAGAAGATTGTCAGGGTCAGATGGCTGAAAAGACTCATTTTTGAATGGCCTTTCATGCTTTTAGGTTGTAAACATTTGCAAGCAATGTCATATTTTGTACATGGGAACTAGCACTATACAATGGTCCATCCAGACTGGCAACTGAAAGAGCATGCAAAAAGTTCAAATCAATAGCAAAAATCAAAACGTATTGCTAAAAGGAATTGAGAGCTTAGAATCAAAATATGTACATTATTAAAAAGGAGCAATTTATTGAATTAAATAAAGCACATTTCCAAACTTCAGAATAGAAATAGGAAGTTGGTCGAGGGTTAGCTCTATTGGAACAGGAGCCACAGGAATGGGCACATCAACAAACATTTGCATACATGAGTGAATGCACCGAATGAATACAAAACAGGCGCACGCAAGTGCACGCAGAGTCAATGGAGGAAGGCAAATAGTGACGGATGGAAGCAATTTTGAAGGAAATTGAAGCATGTAGCTAGTTATTCCTAAATTCCTATAACTTCAGACAATTTACGGATGCAGAACAAAACAATTTTTTTTTCTACAGTAGCTGTTACAATTGGGATAATAGGCTGATTGAGTATTGAGTATTATTCCCAGCGCAACCTTTTAGGAATCACTACCCTGCGGCATCTCAGGAACACATTAAGGAAATATTGGGGGATCCCGCAGGGCACGGTGTGGAAAAAGGACTGCTGCCACTACCCTAACCGTATGGAGAGAAATATCTTTGATCACAAAAAAAAAGGCAAGAATGGAAATAAATATGATGCTAGAGAATAACCTAAGTTTACATTTTCTAGAAAGCTATCATCAAAAACCTCATGCTAGACACAGGGTCTTGCAGGATTTTGCTTACTTGCATTAAATCAAATTCAAGAGTAAAGCATAGAACACACAATCATAGCCCAACACTTGACTTTCTTAAGGCTCTGAGGTGGCATTTCCCCTTACCCAGTAGTAACTCAACTATTGGCCAATAGCAGCTCGCTGAAGATTGATTACACAGCAGCCTGTGAAAGTGATGAATACAACTGCAAAAAGGAGGTCTAAATTGGAAGTATATTGAAAGGTGGTAGTTTGAAAGAAAGAAAGCCCAGGAAAAGAACAATGTAATCAGAAAACTAGAAAGGTACGAAGAAGGAAACAAAGAGTTGTTCAGACCTAATTGTGCTTCCAGAGGGGGCCTCGATCGTCCAGATGCAGTGCAGGTTGTGCTCATAGGGCGCTGGGTAGCCCGGAGACAGGATACGACCAGAAAGCTCGTTCTTGTTGGCGCCCCCACACTCCGCTGGAAAGAGGAACAGAGAGAGCGACAGATTAAGGAGCTGAGTAATCAATGCTAAGAGGAAAAGAAAAGGTGTAAAATAAGTAAAAGCTCATCAATGCTCTGAAAGTCAAATTAATAAACGGATACGGCAAGATTAACATACTTAACAGAAAGTGCATTATCCCACTTCCAGTAAAGTGCATCTCGCCGGTTTCCTCTCATCATTATTAATTATTGACATGGTATAGTCGAACGCTAAAGTTTGATGTGCGTCATCATCTTGTTTGCAATTTGAATGATAAGAGGGAGAGCAGCCAACTTAATATACTCTGTGCATCCTCTTGGCTCAGAGAAGACAATCCGGCAACTTTACAAATGACCTCGTCCTGTTACCTTTCAAAGCTGATGGACTGAAAAAAACATAACTTTCAATATGTTTAAAGAACTCATTTTCACTGATATGGATCAAATGTGTTGGGGTTAAAGGGACCCTAAGATGCTTTTATCGGGGTTTCCCTTTCCTGCTGCGTGGTATTTAGGTTTCTGTGCATGTAAATGGCCTGCAACGGCTAAAATCACAAATGTCCCTACAAACCCCCCGCCCTGTCTGAACACCTCCATGGGTCCCCTCAGTGGACTTCCGTAACATAATGACACTACATTGTAGCACTTGTGCTTCTATTGGTTAGCGCTAGGAGAGGGTTTGGTCAAATATGATGCCTAGGTTCCGGATGTGAGTGGAGGTTTGAACTGGGAAGCCGTCTATGTTGAGGGTGAAGTTATGGATAGGTGTGGTTAATGCTTCAATCTGGTGCACTTTGAGCAGAATCACTACTAGATCTAGGGGGTACAACTCTAAAACACCCATATGAAAAAGATCGGTTTACATTTTTAATAATCAAATAAGTATGGGAACATAACCAATAACCTAACATAGCCAATAACAAATTAATGTAACTTATTTTATTTGTGTTATTCTTTCATATCTTATTTGACCTAGTTAACATTTATTTATTTATGCATATTTTTTTATCTCTCCAGTTTTAAACGATATTTTTGGTTACTATCCTATAGTATACAAGAGGCTAAGAGGCGGGACATCTCTAAGCGGTTGACCAATCACAACAGAGCCGGCAAGCTAACCAATGAGCAGACTGGGCTCTGGTTTCAGACAGAGGGTGAAAAGAGGTGCAGCAGCACAGGCAGTATGAGAAAAATAAAGAGCTTTTTGAACATTAAAGGATGGAGACATGTCACAGTAGAGACGCTAAATATTAATATCAACCTGAAAATTAGTGTAATAAGGCCCCTTTCATGTGAGTTAAAGGCATTTTAGGGCTCAATCTATAAATATGTATACTCCAAGTATGTACAGAATAGATACATGTTTCTTATTTTGGAGGTGTCACTGATATTTACATCTGCTGAGCAACATGAGACTATGATCATACCGAAAGAGTGGAAGGCATCCGAGTATTGTCATTGAGATGCCTATGGGAGTGTTTGTGGCAGTAGTTATAGTGTTTGTAGACAATATGATGGTTCTAGTATCATATCACAGTTCAACAAGCCCCCCTGAGGAGCTCAACAGACATCAAACATGAGCTCCATCTCTCAAGATATTGACAATCATGCATCTCTGATACTAGAAAGCAAAATAAGGGGCCACAATATTTTCTCCGGAACAGTGGGAACAATGGAGATATCTTTTCAGCTTCAAGTAATACATTTCCATCAGAAAGGCTCTGTGACTGAAAAGCAATTGTCAGCCCCCCCTTCAATTACCCCCTCCTAATCTCATCCAAAAATTGAATGACATTTTTTTTTTTTTTCAACAACATTAGACTTAAAGTGTTTTTGTTAAGATTGTTGAAGTCATCTCATCGGACAAGAAGAGGGTAAAAGTATTCTACTTTCCTTTTTCTTCCGCTGAGAGGAAAATAGCTCTTTCAAACAGGGGAAAAATGGAGGTCAAGAAATCACGCTGATGATGATGATGGCTGTGAAATCAATCTGAGGAAAATAGACCCTGTGTTGAAATACGGCAACAGCAGAAAACACACACATGAACAGGCTGGCAAGAAACCAATTCAAGAACGAGCTAAGTGAACAAAACAGTGCTCACACACAAAGAGAAGATCACACCATCAGACAGACACAAGCTGTTCTTTCTCCGTAAACAATTTGTCACCTTTCATTTGATAAACATGCCTTTCCTTGCATGAGCAAATATTTCCTTGCTTTGTTTCTCTCTTTGCCCTCCTACTTCACACCCTTCGTCTCCCTAGGGCGTTGTGCATTTCAACTGCAATAATCACCAGAGCTGGCCTCTGATCGGTTTTCACACAATACAAAACACAGACTTGAAATAGAGTTTATGAAATAATTTAAATATTGGATTGTCCTCTCTTATGTCATTATTGGAAGGAAAGTACAAATGTGAAAATAATGAAAGGGAGAAGATGGAAGAGGTTTTAGTCTCTCTCTTCCAGCTTTTTCCCCTCTGTTATGCTTTTCTTGTTGAAAGAAACTCTTTTTTTATGGAGAGAGGAGTGAAGAGGGTGATCTATCACTGTGAGACAAAGCCATCTCTTTCCTCTTGCCTTATGACCTAAGAAACTACAGCTCAGCTACTCTACCCTTCAATCTATGTCTGCACATACACATTTGTACAAGTCAGCTTGGATTCTGCCTCTTCTTGTCCCACCATTTTCTCTGTACATTTCCCCACAAGACATACCGTATGTATCATTACACATATATCAAAGTTTTGATATATGGAAATAAAGCATGTGGCGCTTTACATATCAAACAGACACATACACACTTAATGATGGCTACAATAGGATGATCCATTTTGTTTTCAATACATATTGAATTGTAAATTCATTACTCCTGTTCTGGCTGCCTTACACTGGCTCCCTATAGAACACAGGATAGAATTTAAAATTCTTCTTCTCGCCTACAAAGCCCTTAATGGGCAGGCGCCATCTTACCTTAAAGAACTCATTATACCCTACTGTCCTACTAGGGCATTGCGTTCCAAGAATGCAGGGTTGTTGGTTGTTCCTAGAGTCTCTAAAAGTACAATGGGAGCCAGAGCCTTTTCTTATCAAGCTCCACTTTTGTGGAATCAGCTTCCAGTTTGTGTTCGGACGGCAGACACCCTATCCGTTTTTAAGAGTGCGCTTAAGACCTTCCTTTTTGATAAAGCTTATAGTTAGGGCTGATTAGATTCAGCCCCTAGTTTTGCTGATATAGGCTTAGACTGTCGGGGGACATCTTACTTCTTCCTTCTCTCTGTCTATACCTGTGTACTCTCATGTTCCGATTAACCCAGCTTCCCCAAATTTCTTTCTTTTTGGTGTCTATATACGCCGAGATCCGGAGTCATGGATGATCCTGCGGTCCTGTGTCATGGATCGCGAGTCCTGGATCTTGAGTCGTGGCTGTGGTCCTGGATCATAAGTCCTGGATGGATATCCTTGTGGATTCATCTTCTTATTATACACACATGCATTTCCAAACATTTGGACTACCTATGTTGCAAATGTATTATCTTTTCAATTTACACACGGCATCTATTGCACGTCTGTCCGTCCTGGGAGTTTGAAAAACTTTTCCCGGCCAGAGAGGCTTAAATAGCTGTTTGATTATATAAAATAGGTAATGAACAGACGATGTTTTATCTATCTAAAGAAAATCTAGATTGATCATACAATTTGATATAGTTTATCTTTTGGGAATACACTACATATTGTTATGGCCTGGTACTTGGTAGTACCCAAGAAACGCGAGAGAATCTTCACCTGAAACGGACTGATTGGTTGTATGTCGTTGTACAAAAAAGTACTCGAATACACAAATTAGACCATATAGAAGGACCAAAAAAAATTTAAACACCACATATCACGAATTGTCGATGATATCCTATCAAATTAACCTAAAATTAACAAATTATTCATAGCAGTTCCTTGTGAAGGGCCTCCTTTTGGGTGTCAAATTTCCCTTTACCTCTTTTTAGGTCCCTTCTTCGTTGTTCCTCC